GTGACTTACTCTTCCAGAATAAGCGTTTACATAATATATGTGTGTACTGTTCATTTGTATTTGTATATATGAATACACACACATATACATGTATATATTTAAGAAATGTGTAGTCAATATTTAAGTATGTAATATATATATATGCATGTGTGTGTATTTATGTATACATACAAATAAACCCAACACACATATATATTATGTAAACAAACTTTTAATGTGGAAGCAATTAATTATGATTAATCGACTTTTACTAGGGTTGGGTATGGTTTGAATTTGATCAGTTCTGATTCTGCTTTTCAATTCTAATTATTAACGATTCCTAGTTTCTATTCTAATAAGGTAAAATAAAAAAGTCAAACAGCTGAATAACATGAGCAAAAATCAGCCGCCTACAGAACACTACGAGAGGAACTTTAGCCTAGGGTTTTAACAAATACTACAGCAAAACAACTAGACGAATATGCATGTCAAACATTACATTGTTAAACAGTCAGTAATAAAATAGGCACAAACTAATCCATTAGAAATAGCATAAATAAACAACTGAACAAATTTCAGGTACGGACATTAAAGTCAAAAGTTTAAAAACACTGCATAGTTTTTGTTTTCACAAAATATAGATACATCCTAAAGTTAAAGTGACCGAAGATATTCAGTCAAGATAAGTGAATGATTTTCTTTAATGACAGGCAGCAGATGTTTATCTTTGTACAGCGAACGCAACAACATGCTAGTAATAGGCTAATCATGCTAGAATAATGCTAGCAACATGCTAGTAACTTGCTAATCATGTTAACAAGATGCTAACAACATGCTAGTAACAAGCTAATCGTGTTAGAAACAGGCAAGTAACGTGCTAAACATGCTTACAACATGCTAGTAACATGTTAATCTAATCATATTAGAAACATGTTAGACATGTTAATCATGCTAGCAACATGCTAGTAACTTGCTAATCATGCTAAAAACATGCTAATAAAATGGTAACAACATGCTAGTAACATAAGCATGTTAAAACATGCTAGTAACATGCTAACAACATGCGAATAACTTGCTAATCACATTAGAAACATGCTAGTAACATGTTAATAACATGCCAATCATGCGCAAAACATGCTAATAATGCTAACAACATGCTAATCTTGCTAGTAACATGCTAATAACATGTTAATCATGCTAAAACACGCTAATCATGCTAACAACATGTTAGTAACATGCTAATCATGCTAACAACACGCTAGTAACATGCTAATCATGCTAACAACATGCTAAAAGTTTTAGTGTAGTAACTTGTTAATCATGATAGTAACATGTTAATCATGCTAGAAACATGCTAGATACATGCTAATCATGCTAGAATAATGTTAGCAACGTGATAAAGACATGCTAAATCATGCTAGCAACATGCTAATGCATGTAGAATCGTGCTAGTGACGTGTTAAATCATGCTATCAATATGCTAATTCATGTTAAAACGTGTGTTCCCACTCTGTCCCAAACTTCAGTTTCAACAATTAAAATTAAAGTTTAAGCTTTTCAAAGCTATTTCAAGCTTTCAGACAAGGCTTTCTCAAGCCAACTTCAAAGTTTGTCTGCGAACTTTACTCCTCTAGTTTTCTTTTGTTCTTTAATGACAGGCAGCAGATGTTTATTAGGCTGCGGTCTCTTTAACAGCGAACGCACGCGGATCTCAAAGTGCTGTTACACATGCGTTCCCTCCAAAAAGCAGCTGTGTTAATGAGGATATCTGACCTATTTTTGTGCGCATTGGTCGTAAGATGTTAAAGAGCGCTCGGGAGACCGGGAGCCCACACCAGGACCGTGCTCAAATTTGAGTGCATCACTGAAAAAACCCCCTGTTTATTATGATTTAGTTTCTGTCCTTCTACAGAGCACGACACGTGTCCGGTTAGATCTGATGGTTTCCAGTTCCACCCTCCGCTCCCTCCTGGCTCTGCGTCCTCATCCGCTGCTCCACCTCTCCCGCCGGGAACGCCTCCGTCCACTCCGCCCATCCCTAAGGGAACTCCACCGCCGACTCCACCTACTAACGATTCCCCGGCCAATCAGGCGAGAGGGTTGACTGAGGGGGAGGAGTCTGAGGACGGGCTGTCTCTGGAGGAACTGGAGGAGCAGCAGAGGCTTCTCTGGGCAGCCCTTGAGACGGCAGATACCACGACCAACAGTGATTCCGAGACCCCCGTCCCGAGTTCCCCGAGTGTGGTCACTTCACTTAAACTCGACTCGGAGGAAGACGGAGAAAAGACGGAGGACTCGAGTCACGCGTATGAAATCAAGAGCACGCCATCTTCACCTAACGTTTGTGAGGAGGAGAGGATAGATGAAACCGCCGTCGATTTGCAAGCAGGGATGAGTGACGACATTGTCCTGGATGAAATTCACGAGGAAAGCAGTAATCGTGATGCAACAAATGCAGCTTCAGACACTCCTCAGACAAACACGGAGGAGCCTGCCGTAAATAAAGTAGCTTTCGTCCCACACCGGAGCAGGTTCGCTGCGGGTATTATTCCTTTCGAGGACACGCCTGAGTTTACGGAGGTGGCTGAAGCAACGGGGGTTTACCTCAAGATTCGAGATTTGCTAAAAGGCTCCCCGAGAAGTCAGGCCCGAGGCAAGAAGTAATGGAAGTGGTGTGTTTGTACTGCGCACCTGTGGACAACGAGCAGTGTGTTTTTCTCTCTAATCACAGTCCTTTTGTATGTAGTTTTACTTTGGTGCTTTCTATCTTTTTACAGCTATCGTGTGATTTTTAAAAACACAAAGAGGTTTATTTGGTTTGTACCTGATTATTAACTGACTGTGGATACTTGATCTCTGTGTAGGGAATGTTTTTTATTATTATTCTGTTTTCTGTAATTACGGTCGTTACCGCCACATCTCATTTGCATGCCCTCCATCTGTGTATTTTATTGTGAATATCTTTCAGAATAAATTTCTTAAGAATTCTCACTGAATTAAAAGTTTTAACTTGAACTTAAAATGAAATTGTTGCACTTTATACACAATTTTTGCACCTTCTGCTTCTACTTTATTTATTTTTTATTCATCATCATCATCATCATCATAAATGCAGGAAAAACATGTTTACAATAATTTACAATAGAAGTCTGTGGAGAAAGGCATTTCAGAGGCTTTAGCTTTTATTACAGATTTCAGAACTACATTAGCATTAAAAGTTTGGAATAATTAATATTTTTGTTGCTTTTGAAAGACCTCTCTGTGCTCACCAAAGCGGCAAAATACAGTACAGTAAAGCAGTTCTTTTATTAAAGTTGAATATTCAGTCATTATTTTGTGTCGTTCGTTAATACCTGAAATATTGTCGCCTTTAGCTTGCTATTTGGGGGCATAACGGCAAATAATAATCAATATAATGTATAAGTGATGAGTTTTTGAGTGCGATTTTTAGTTATAAATATAAAGCACTAAAAAAAAAAAGGTTGGTTATTACTAATATGTAATTACACCTTTCCACTCTAGAGAGCAGGGGTATTACCGTTCACTAAAACCATTAAAAATGTCATTATTTGAAATGAAACTAACTGAAATCAAATATTTCTGCTAGCTGGAAAGACAAAATGCAACGTTCATTTAGTTGAAATTGAAATAATAGCACAAACTAGCACTAAAACTTATACCCAAAACTATTTGGACATTAAAAAATAATAAAAATGACCAAAACACGACAACGTTATTAACACTTTAACTAAAATTAAAGTGAAAAAATAAAATATATTTCAAAATATTAGCAACAAATGATACTAGAATGAGTCTCCTTGTGACTTTCCCTGTTTAATCAAGTATTTTTCCAACACGCTGATTACTGTCAGACTTTCAAAATCCTTCATAATATTTTTGTTGCTTTTGAAAGACCTCTCTGTGCTCACCAAAGCGGCAAAATACAGTACAGTAAAGCAGTTCTTTTATTAAAGTTGAATATTCAGTCATTATTTTGTGTCGTTCGTTAATACCTGAAATATTGTCGCCTTTAGCTTGCTATTTGGGGGCATAACGGCAAATAATAATCAATATAATGTATAAGTGATGAGTTTTTGAGTGCGATTTTTAGTTATAAATATAAAGCACTAAAAAAAAAGGTTGGTTATTACTAATATGTAATTACACCTTTCCACTCTAGAGAGCAGGGGTATTACCGTTCACTAAAACCATTAAAAATGTCATTATTTGAAATGAAACCAACTGAAATCAAATATTTCTGCTAGCTGGAAAGACAAAATGCAACGTTCATTTAGTTGAAATTGAAATAATAGCACAAACTAGCACTAAAACTTATACCCAAAACTATTTGGACATTAAAAAATAATAAAAATGACCAAAACACGACAACGTTATTAACACTTTAACTAAAATTAAAGTGAAAACATAAAATATATTTCAAAATATTAGCAACAAATGATACTAGAATGAGTCTCCTTGTGACTTTCCCTGTTTAATCAAGTATTTTTCCAACACGCTGATTACTGTCAGACTTTCAAAATCCTTCATTCTTGAATTAATATTATAATAATTCAGTTTTAAAGCACAGCCACCACACAATCAGACTTTAGCAGCTCTTTGTACTTTGAGATCGTTCTGAGGTTAAATACAGATTAAAATCATAACAAGATATAGTTTAATAGCTATGATACTGTTTTTGAAATGAAATCTTTGCACAGCTATGACAGGAAACACTGGCATCTAACCATGCCTTGGAAAAACAGTTCATCTGAAAAAATAAAGTTATCGAATAAGCATGTGTCCTGTTCTGTGTCCTGAACTCCTGAAACATTGCTGTCTCAAAGCAGCCAATGCATTTGGGGAAAGAAATCAATACAATAAATCTGTATGTTTGAGTGTGTGTGTGTGTGTGTGTGTGTGTGAGTGTGAGTGTGTGTGTGAGAGAGTGAGTGTGTGTTGTGTGTGTGTGTGAGTGTGTGTGTGTGTGAGTGTGAGTGTGTGTGTGTGTGTGAGTGTGTGGTTTAACTGTACTTGTGATCATGGCAACCCACTAGTAAGGACATTTGACTGGTTCTCTTTTTAAAAAGGCTTATAAATCAGCCAACAGATGATTTAATTTAAATCTATGTTTCTGTGAGGGGTTGGGTTAGCTGACGGAAAATATCATTAACTTTTATTACTTTATAACTTTTATTTTTATTACTTTTATTGTTTTGAATGATTCATGTCTTCTGCTATTGTGACTGGTTTTAGTGATTTAAGATTGCTCGTAACAACCTTTATTCAGCCTATGTGTAGTTCACACACACACAGATTAATACAAACAATCTGAAACAGTCTTAAAAAACACAATACACTTGCCACAAAGTAACACTAATTATATAAAGCAGAGATGGTTGGGGGCGGGGCTGAGCGCGCCTGCGTCATGACGTCACTCGCGTCGCCGCTGACCCGAAGAGTCTCGGACGCAGCAGGATAAACCCGGCGGAGAAGAGACCCCGGCGCAGCTGATCTCTGAGAGCGCTACGCGGCCCGGAGGCAGCAGGTGAGCCCGCTCCGGTGCTCCGGCGAGAGGGCGGCGCGTTTCCCGTCGGCCGAGTCCCGCGCGTGCGTCCGGTGTGCGGGCCACGAGTGAACTCCTCCGTGAGGCCAGAATAGATCGGGTCCGTCTCGTGACGCGCTGTGTGACTCCCAAACCTCGGGAAATGTCCTGGACAGCGTGCCAGCTGCTTTCAGTTGAGAGCAGCTCAAACTGGTAGCTAAGTGTCACCAGATGACTGTCTGTATAAAGCTGCATGCTGGTCAGTGGGCAAGAGCAGCGCTTACACGAGGCTTGTCCGAGAAGTTGCTGTATTTGTCCTTAAACGTTTAAAAAGAAGTCTCCAGAGGGATGGGGAAGTCGCTAAATCTAGCTACAAAATGGCTAAGTTGGCAACACTGCTTGCAAAGCGACTTGATGGTCATAAAGAGAGCCGAACTAACTCGAGATCTGAGCTGTCACCTTCTACAGGAGTGTAGTTTCTGCTTTATATCAGCTGTGGTTTACTGCCATGCACATTTCCACCTCATGCTGTATCAGAAGAAGATGGCTTGTGTGGATCTGTGTGTGAGCGGATGGGTGGTTGGACGAGTGCTTACAAGTTTAACTTAAAGATACAGTACACGATAATAATACATTTGAATGTACAACATTGAACATCGATGCAGAGGAGATGTTTACGTCAAAGCTGAAACCAAGCCGTTCACGCAGAACGCGTATTTATCTCATTTCTAGAGGGACATCTATCACCGCTGCGCTCGCGTCTCGCACAAGAGAGACGCATGTTTAGAAAGCCGTGCAAAATGAATGCATCAACTTTTTAAAATCATGTCTGAAGACGTTATGGCGGTTTCCCCCGTCCCACTAGAGGTGTGCGATATTGACAAAACGATATCTCTATTTTCTGGGATTCTATCGATGACGGTATTTTGCTGAGTGTGTTATTGTGCTGGTACCGTAAGCACTGCCGAAGACAGCTGACTCCTAATGTTTTTAATATTCTTCATATTCTGTGTGCTGGTCAGTTCATACTGATAGAAATTAATCCTTTCCAATAAGTTTAAACTGATTTTTGCATTTTATGGGCATTTTTACCTTCATAAAGCCATTTTTTCTAAAAGTGTGCATTATCTTTTGAGTCAGATTCTTACATTTAATCAGAGAATTAGAATAATAAGACATCTGGGCTGTTACCGAGCAAATTAAATCCACACAGACGCTGCATCTGAAGCTGCATTTAGATGCGTTTACACACGTGTATTTTGTTTAATGCAAGACATGAATGCATTTAACCTGCAATTACAAATGCATAAATAATGTTTTGATATATTGAACATAAAACGTTGAATACTGATATTTGAAATGATTTTAAAACATGAAAAAATAAAATAAAATAAAAGCAATAAAAAGCCGAAATGTGAAATGAAAGCCGCCAGCAGGTGGCAGCGAGTCACTGTTAATAAGCGAGTCATTGCGATTGAACCGAATCATTTAAACGAGTGATTCATTCAGGAACGAAACACCGTCGTGTTGCTCAGACACGAAAAACAGCGCTGTGGCTGTATTCGGGATGATTGTTGTTGGTGAAACAGAGCAAAAACAAGCAATATGGCGTCTAAAACGTAAGTCTCTTAATTAACTTACTGTTTATTGAATTCAACGTCACATTTGTAATCACGGTCACTTTTGGAGAAAAACGGCACTCTTCGTGTGAAATTGAGTAACTATGAAGTGGTATAAATGTGTAGATTTTCTGCCATCATGTCTTGAATTTGTGATCATTCTAAATGCATTTTAATAGCCTGAATCACGCAGTGAAGGAAAACACACTAAATGCGCACGCGCACTAGTCTACGCTTCACGTGATGTAAGCGTGCGCTCTGTAGCGGTGTTTTGAATGGTTTTTGCAAAATACTCGATAATGTCAAATCGCACATCGTTAAAACAACAATTACGATATTATCGCAGACGATATATATCGC